AGGAATGCCAGTGGCTGCCTTAGAAGAAGGACACCTAATTTTTATTGTAAAATCTTTACTTCTATTTTTTTTATAAATTCAGTGTGTATTACCTTGAAAACCTGGATAATTATAAAAGAAACATCAAAACCATTTTTTTTTTACACTTAGGCTCAAAAGTGTGGAAGTGCACTTAGGATTTTGTGGGGTATGAGGCCCGGGTTGCCTAAGCACACACCTCACCTCGGAGCCTCTACTGCCCTTCCTTCTGCCTGAAACCCCATCCCTGCATCTTCATGGGTCAAGATCATACTTCTAGTTGATCCTTCCTGATGCCCCTGCCTCCCTGAGGAAGAGATTATTCTCTCCTCCTCCACCAGCTCAACACTTGGAAGCACTTTCTGTAGTGCCCTGCCCTGGGCCTGGCGCACGGTGAGTGCTCCATAAACACTAGCTTTTGTTGTTGGCGTTATCACATTATAATACTTGTCTCACCGAATCATAATGATTTGTTCTCCTGCTTCCCCTCTACACAGGGAGCTCTTGGAAGGCAGGGGTCCAGTTCACCCACCCAAAGAGGATGCCCAAGACCAACCCTCCTCCCCTCCCCCAGAGTGCCTTGTGCAGAACAGCTGATACATGCTGGTTGAATCCTCCCAACTTCCTCTCAGTCTGCCTGTTCGAGGAATGGGGTGGGAGGCTTCCAGCTCCCACCCTCGAGCTGCGGGTAGTCCCAGGCCCTGCCGGGAAGACAGGGCTGCAGTCGGTTATTACTTACGCTGGGCCACCTCTCGCTGCTTGCGGACGTACCAGGTGTACAGGGCGGCTCGCTTCTGTGTCTTCATGGGGGTGCCCTTGTTGAGGTGCTGGGACAGGTGGGATTGGTTGAGGCCGGTGGTGTCGACCACCTCCCGCTGCGGGATGTTGTGCTGCTGCAGGTAGGACTTGACCATCTTAGCCACACGCCATGGGTCCTCCCTGGGCGGGGGAGGCGGGGGGACAAGGACAGGCTGCTCAGCCCAGGGTGGGTGCTGGGAGCCCTGTCCACCCGGGGGGTGAGGATAGTAGATGGAAGCAGGCGTGGAGCCCAGGAGCCTGTACCTAGACTCAGGGACAGGAGGTATGGGCACTCATGCCAGGACACAAGGACATGAGGACAGAGACTTGCAGACACATACACATGGGAGACATGTGGACACAGGCCCCAACCAGTCCCATACAGACATAGGAACAGATAAAGGTTTCGAAACACAGACACGCAGAGACATGGAGACAGATGTAGACAAAAACAGACTCCCCCTGGAAGCTGCACAAGCCAGATGGGGAGGGTACTCATCTCTGTGCTTCCTTTAAAGATTCCTGCCCCCCCCCCTACATTCTACCTAGAAATGTTATGTGTGGCTGTGTCTTAACCACTGTGAGAGACTGTAAACACCTGGAGGGCAGGAACTGTCTGGTTGTCGGCACCCAAAATAGGCCTGACATAGAGTGTGCCCTTGGTGAATGCATGAATGAATGAGTGGATGTATGTATGGATGGATGTATGGGTGGGTAAGGGGATGGTCAGTGGATTGATGGTGGATGGTGGGTGAGAGGATGGATGGATGGATGGATGGATAGATGGGATGTTGATGGGTAGATGTTAGATGGATGGGTGGATGGGTGGGTGGATGGATGGATAGATGAGAGAGATCTACTGGAAAAAAATTTGGGTCTGAAAACAAGGAGAGAAACATGATTCTCCCACTTTACATCCAGGGCCACTGAGGCTCAGAGCACTGTGTCACTTGTATCTCTTGCCGAAGGTCACGGGGTTAGCCCAGTAGAGTCCCACCCGAGCTGAAAGGAATTGGTTCTAAGTCAGTCTGTCAGATAAAAGTCACATAGCATCAAAATGCCTCCTGAAAATCTGCACTAAACCCTAGATGGTGGCGCAGCCAGTCTCCCCACAGCACTGAGGCGGGTGGCTAATTTCTCAACAGAGTCCCAGGTGAAGGAGTTAGGGGCTGGCATCCCAAGGCCTTGTAAGAAAAATGAGCGTGTCTGAGCGCAGAATCCCACTCTGTGGGCTCAATTCTCTCACTCGAGGGATTCAAGTGGACCTGAGGCCACCTGTGGCTCAATCTCCTGTTCTCTGCTCACTGTGGGGAATGGAAGGGGTCAGGTTGCCTGTACGATATAAATTCTTCTCTCTCCCTCTTCTGCTCTGTCTCAACCCTCCTCTCTTCCCTTCGTCCTCTCTTGAGTTTCTGTTACAACCATGTGTCAGATACAACAGTGCTGAAACAGGCAGAGCTGGGATTTAAACCCAGGTCTGTGCGATCCTAAGCCTGTGTTCCCACAGCCTTGATGCAGCAGTTTGCTTCTAGAATTGAGGCATATGTGACAAATGGCATGTGTAGGAAGTGATTCATCTCCATGTCGTTTGCCACAGCCAAAGATTGGAAACAACCTAAGCGTCCAGCAAAAGGATGCTGATTAACCAAATTGCAGTGCCTCTGTACAATGCAGCCATAAAAACCCACTGAGAAAGATCTGTACAAGCCCAGATGGAACAGTTTGTGTGGTAGGTCTATTGTGCTATGTGTGTAAAATTTTAAGTGGGATAAAAGAAGATTTCTACATATTTGCTTTGTTCACATGAAATACCAGAAGTATACATAATGAACTGGAGTCACTGGTTGGATGCTGGGGACAGGGTGAGAGGGGAGTGTTTTCTCTGTTACTCTTCTGTACTCCATAAATTATGTATCAATAATATAGTATCATATAATATACTACATATGCATATATAATGTTTAAAAGTGAATTGTGAAAAAAAGAAAAGAAACCCCCCAGTGCTCTGAAGCCCACCCCACACTGCCTTCTCCCCTGGCCCTTCTCTCTTTCCTCAAAGAACCAGCCTTGCCTGCGTCCTTGACAATGCCCTTCCGAGACATGAGGGCACAGAGCCTTTCATCCACTTTGGCCCTCTGACTTCCTCCTTTTTTTATCAACAGTTCCCATACAGGCAGGGAGGAATGGAAGGTGGGGACAGATACAGTTAATCAGCAGTTGGTCCAGCAAAGTCCCATTTGTGTAGAAATGATAGCCATGAGAATTCATGTTTCTTGAGTATTTATGGTGAGCCAGGTAAGGGCTGGTCATTTAAATCTTACAATAACCCTAGGAAGTATGCCCATTTCACAGGTGAGAAGACTGAGGCTCAGAAAGGTGAACACTTGTCCAGGGTGACTTCGCTGGGACTCAAGAATATTTCACTTTCCTGAACCCCCCAACCTCTCCCCAAGCCCTATCTCCCTGCTTTCCTAGGAGCCTCACCTCCCCCGGTCCCCGGGTGCCAGTCAGAGCTGGGAGGGAAGGGCAGGACAAAGTCCAGCCTTGTGCTCCGTGGCAAACATGTTTATCTGACTCTGGGGCTGGGCTGCCCGATGGCCTCCCTCCTCCCCCAACTGCAGTCATCACCCTCCTGAGAGATCCTCCCTCCCTCTGTCTGTTCTCCAGAGAGAAGGAGCCCAGTCTTCCTTCAACAGGGCCTCTCCTGGCTCAAGCTAAAGATTTACTGTCTGTCTCTGTCCTTCTGACCCCATGTGTCTCTATCTGTCTCTGTTTCTCTCACTCTCTCTCCTTCTGTCTCTGTGTCTCTCTGTTTTCTGCTCTCTTTCTCTCCCCCGCTCCCCACACACACACATAGTCTCCAAGAACATGGCTCTTTTCAGGACATTTTCCCCAACGCAGAACTAAGAGGCCAGGTCTCCAGGCATCTCCTGCTTTCACTCTAATGGGTTTGAGAGCTGAACCAACCTGGGTTCAAATCCCACCACTGCGGCCTTGCGCCCAATGTGCTCATGGCCCACATCTCCCCTGTAACACAGCGGGAAATTCACGCCTGCCTCCCTGTTCTCTATTGGGAGAACTGAATGAGTGTCTAATAGGAGTGAAATGCTGAGGACAGGGCCAGGCACACAGTAAGTGCTCAGTAAGTGGAACAATATTGTTACCATCATCATCATCATCAGCGACCTAGTCCTGGGACCTCCAGCCCCACAGCAGAGGGAAGAGGGCCCAGGAAAGGTGAAGGTTTGCCCACAACCCCCTCCTCCCGCCTCCTGCCAGTTCTAGGGTCAATCAGAGGTTCAAGGCTTTGGGCCTCTTGCTCCCTGGCCCGTGGGGTTTCAGTGCATCCAAGGCTGCAGAGCTGGGAGACCAGCCTGAAGGCCACTCATCTGGAGGGGGAGCCGAGTTCTCAGTGTGAATCCCAGCTCTGCCACTCACTCTCCAGGTGGCCCTGGGAAGTTTCTTAACTTCTGTGTACCTCAGTTTCCTCAACTGTGATAGGGAGCAAATAATATTTCATAGGTTGTCAGGAGGAGAAAACGAGCTTAATGCACTTGTAAGCGCTTCGTGAGTCCTCGAGCACTACGCGGAAGTGGTCGATGGTGACATTAACAGCAAGAATGACCCAGGAGAGTAAAGAGGGAGATAAATGTATCAAGGACAGGCATGCCACCTCAGGGTGCTGTGCAGAGTGTGGGATTAGGAGGACCTGGGTCCAAGTCCTGGCCTTACTGCTTTGTAAGAGTTACTTTGGGCAGGTCACTTTGCCTCTCTGACCTTTAGTTTGCTCATCTGTAAAATGGGACCACTGATAATAGCAACTGTTCGTTGCACTCACATGCTTACTCTGTGGGTAAGCGTTATGATCAGCTCTGCCTTGCAGAGAACACTGGGACTCAGAAAAGTGAAATTGCCTGCCTGAGCAGAGCTGGGGTTCAAGCCCAGGCAGGCTGGCCTCAGTTAGGGATGTCAGATTGCCCCACCTTGGCCACTGCCTTCCTGGGTCTCAGTGCCTTGGTGCTGCCCAATGGAGAGGACCAGAGACCCTCAAGGTTGAGTTTGAGCTGCTCAGGGACAGGAGGGCCCAGGAGGACACTGAGGAAGGAGCCCTGGGAATGTGTTACTCCCTTGGCCATTGCAGCAGACATCCCCAGGGCTCAGAGAAGCCTAGTCCCTCATTCATTCATGCTGTGTGTCAGCACTGGGGTGGATATCAGGGGTCTGAGTGGTGAACAAGCCTCTGGAAGAGCTTCTGTTGTCATAGCAGGAGATAGAAAACAGACAAATAAAGTAATAATAAGTAATAATAAGTTTCAGGGGAAAGTCAATGAAAGTAGTGGAAGAGGGAGTGACTGTGGTGGCATTTGAGCAAAAAGAGGAGAAGGAATTGACCGTAGGAAGATCTGGAAAGAGGGTTGCGGGGAGAAGGTACAACACATGCAAAGGCCCTGAGGTGGGGATCAGCAAAGTGTAGTGTAACTGGAGGAAAGTGAGGGAGGGAGGGAGGTCCCTCAGGAAGAGATCAGGGGATCAGGGCAGGGAGTTTGAATTGTACTCATTGTCCGGGTAGGAAAACGGAGGCAGGAGAAGAGACTTGCCCAAGGTCACACTTGGTCACACTTGGCTTCCACGGGAAGCCCTGCCTCTTCACCATCCTTTCCAGCCTCAACCTCCCCCACTGGCCAGGCCTTCATGGGGGTCCGCCACCCCTCTGCAGCCTGTGCCCTGAGGCTCAAGGCCCCACTTTTCCCCCTCGGGGCGTTTTCAGATCCCTTTTGTTACCTGAACAATAAGTAACCCGGGTAGTTAGTTATAAACCCCGCAGGAACAAGGAGCTGGTTGATAATTTATAGCAACATCTCAAATTTAAATGGAAAGTAAATAGCATGCTGTTAGCATTAAAGAAAACCCAATCGGGGCGGGAGGCAAGCACTCCAGCCTCCTTGCAGCTTGGGGCGCCTCGCTCTCTCCCCAGCCCATTCTCCCAGCTGCGTGTCAGCCCCTCTCCCCTCCCAGCTCGGCTCTTCCGCTCCACTCTGCTTCTCCAGGCCTCTCTCTCCATCTCCCCTGACGCCCTGTCTCCTCCTCCAGGTCTCCCCTCTCTCCCTCAGCTTCCAGGTCTCTGCTGGTCCCCAGGGAGCACTTTGACCCCTGCTTCCCGCTCGAGTGCTGTGGATCAAGCCTTTCCCTCCACCCATCATCCCACCAAAGGGGCTGCTGATCAAGAGGCCCCACCCAGCCAGGTAAGGCCTTTGGCGCTCCCTGCCCCCACTCCCCCCCGAAAGCCCCCAGTCCCATCTGGGGCCCTGAGCAGGTCTGGCCCTGCCCCACCCTTGTCCGGGTTGCCCTCGCCCTGGGTCTGGAGATGCCAGACTCTTTGCCCCTCCCCTGCAACGCGGCAGGGCCCTTTGCCCTCCTCTTCCTGCCAAGTCAGGGGGCCCTGGCTACTCCCCTGCCTCCTGCCCAGGCCCTCACAAGGCCTGGCAGGCCCTGAGAGCTCCCTGAGGCAGGGAGCCAGCCCTCCCCAACCCCAAGCTGGGATCAGGACCTTGGACAGAAAAGAGGTGGTCTTTGGGACTCTTCCTCAGAACCCCCAGCTGGCCCCTGGCCCCCATCATGGTGATTGAGGGCACCAAAGAGAGTGGGTGTGGAGCTCCCGCTGGGTGGCCTTAGTGCAGCTCCGTCCCCTCCGAGCCTCAGTTCCCTCATCTGCGGAGCAGTTGTCCCCAGGTGCCTCCAGGGTTCATCTCAACACTACCCGAAATGATACCTGTGAAACCTCAGCACGTGCCCACCTGGTTGTTAGGATGGAGGTTACAGAGCCTTAGGGGAGGGGCAGTCCCTGCAGCCCCCAGGTTCCCCTGCCCTCACCTCCAACCTCCCCCACCCCTGCTCCATGCGAAGTTGGTTGGCTCAGGCTTCCCCAGGCTACCGGCCCTCCAAGTTAATGATCACAGGCCTTATCAGAGCCTTTTGCCATTTATAAATTTATAAAACAAAAGAGAAATAATAAAGCCCGTGGGTAATTAGTAACCAGGTCAGCTCTGCTGAGGAGAGGGGAGGCATCGGGCTCAGACCCATCCAGTTCTCTGGGAGATGGGGAGCCAGCCAGTGGGTGGGGTACAGAGTGGGGAGGCTTCTAACGGTACCCACTGGTGAGGGGCATGGCCTGAGGCTGTGCCGTAAAGGGGAGCAGCTCCCTTCCTAAGGCTCCATTTCCCTCAGGTAAGAAAGACCTGGGTTCTGCTGGCTGAATGCTTGAGTTCCTCCAAACCACAGCCTGGGCTCCCCATCCCCACTGGTGCATCTGGGTGCCTAGCAGGGAAGTTGGGATTGGGGGAGAAGAAATGGGCATGGTAGCTAAAAATTCCCCGCCTCCCCACCACCGTTGTCCAGGGACTAGAATCGTGGACTCTCCTGCTTTGTCCCCATCTTGGGACTCCCCTGGGGCATGCCCCACTTCCCAAGCACTGGGCTGAAAGCCTTGGCTCATGGAGACTCGGGACCCCGCAGAGGGCCGGGTCAGGGGCTGGAGGCTCCAACCTCCGAGCTAGGACCCCACCACACCCCCGCTTCCAAGCTCTAATGGGCCCTGTCCCCCTTGCCGACAACCAGCCTAAAGGCTACAGCCCATGGGACTCTGGACTGGCAAGGGCTGGTCAGGAGCCGAGGCTGGGCCGCTCCGGGCTCCTTGGGAGCTGGGGACAGGGGAGGGGTCCTTACTGCAGCAGGGTCTCCACCACGGCTTTCTGGTGGGCTGCCTCCTCGGGGCTGAGGTTCTCCAGCTCTCTGAGAATGGGCGGCGTGAAGTCTTCCCCCTCGTCGTCCGTCTCGTCCTCGGAGCCCCTCGTCTCCCCCAGCCCATTGGGCAACTCGGCCAGCTCCCCTCGACCGCCACCACCGCAGGACTCCCCCTTGTCCGGGGGACCGTCTCCAGCCAGCAGGTAGGGCCCCGGCTCACCCAACGCCTGGATCAGCGCCTCTTTGCTCAGGCCCGACTCGAGCAAGGCCGCCAGGAGCTCCGTCTGCAGCTGGCTCAGTTTAGAAACCATGGCTCCACTAGCACGGGCCACGCGGCCCAGGGCCACTGAGCCGGCCGCCTCCCGCCCCCCACCCCCGGCGTGGGCTGGCTCCGTGCTGGCCGGCCAGCAGGCAGGCCCAAACCAAGCTCCTTGCGCCCGCTGCCCCCCCAAACCCCACTAGCCAAGCCCTGTGGGCACCCCCAACCCCCAACCCTGGCCCCAGTGGCCAGTGAATCAGGGCCCCTGCCCGCTCTGTTTACATTGGAGCTGGGGAAATTCTCCAAGGTTCATATTTATCCATGTGCTTAGCGAAGGGACTGAACTTTGGACTTCACCCTGCAAAGTGCAGGCCTCATGGCAGTGCAGAGGGACAGGGAGCCGTGGCCTTCCATGGGAGTGGGCAGAGCGGAGGGTGGGGGAGGCAGCGGTGGGGGGCCCAGGACAGCTGGGATGGAAGGTACTGGGAGCCAGGGAGGCCTTCGGGTGACCAGCATTGGGTCCCTCCCCCAGCGACCTCGTAGGGGGCCAGGCTGAGGCAAGAGAACAAAAACAGCCTTGGGAACAGAAGCAGCAGAGTTCTAGGCTGTCGGGTCAACTCTCCTCAAGGGCAAGGCTAGGACACATCCATCTGAGGACCCCCCACTGCCAGCCCCAACATCTGGCCTCCCAGGAGGGAAAACGCGTCGACTAAGTCTACTGTGGGCTGGGTCTGTAACGTGCGTCATTACCTCAGAGTAGCCCCCTAACAGCCCCCTAACAGAGTAGGTACAGGGATTGTGCCCATTTTACAGAGGAGGAAACTGAGGCTCTGAGAGGGTAAGCAACTCGCTCAAAGTCACACAGCTAGCAGGGACAAGATTTGTGGAGTGGGAGCAGGGTGTGGCCAGTAAAGCACTCGGTGCAGGTGCAGATTTTAAGGGGATGTCAAAAAACTCAAGATGAAATCAAGATGAAAAAATATTTTTATATACTCTATTAAAAATTCAAAATAAATGCAAAACCCAAAAGAACTTAAAAGAAATGTCCACACAAAAATTTGCATGTGAATGTTCTCAGCAGCATGATTCACAAGAGCTAAAAAATAGAAAAAACATAAATATCCATTAGTGGATGAATGGATAGAAGAAATGTGGTCTCTCTGTGCAATGGCATATTATTTGGCCATAAAAAGGAATGAAGTCCTGATTCATGCTACAGTAGGCATGAATCTTGAAGCCATCATGCTAAGTGAAAGAAGCCAGACACAAAAGGCCATCTATTGTATGATTCCACGTATAGGAAACGTCGAGAATAGGCAAATCCATACAGACAGAAAGTAGATTCGTGGTTGCTGGGGGCTGGGGAGGTGGGGGTGGGCACAGGGAATGGCTGCTTAATGGGTACAGGGTTTCTTTGGAGATGATGGAAATGTTCTAACATTGATGGGGTGATGTTACACAACTCTGTGAATTTACTAAAAACCACTGAAGTTTGCAATTTAAAAGGGCAAATTTTATGATCTATGAATCAATAAAATATACTTTTCATTAATTTGAAAAATTAATGTCAAAAATCTGTGATGAACAAAAAATATCAAAATGTTAAATAAAGGCAGGTTCCAGCCCTCACTCACCTCACGCTAATGCCAGTCCTGGGCAAAAACTCATCCCCAACCTCCACCCTTCCCTCTTCCGGTAAGAGCCTGGACAAAAGTTCCTGCTGTCTGTCCCCTGGGGTGGCCCTAAGCTCCCAGAACAAGGGGTGTGCACCATTGCCTGGAGTAGGCAGGGTGGTGCTGAGGGGCTGCCCCCAGGCTGAGGCATCTCTCAGGGCTCTGCAGAGCCAGGGTCATGCTTGGCAACGGTGGAAGGGAGAAGGCGCCCTTGGCCCGAAGGCCCCCCCTGCAGGCCAGGCTAGTCCAGCAGGGGGAAAGGGCCTCTTCTTCATTTTTGCACTCACCTGACACACTCAGCAGCTGTGAGGCCCGTGTGGCCACTGAGCACTTGAAATGTGGCTGATGCCTCTGGCTGAAATGATAATATTTTGGATCTATTGAGTGAAAGTTTTTAATTTTGAAACTAAATACTTTAAAAATTAGAAAACTTAATTTCACCTGTTTCTTTTTACTTTTATAATGGTACCACTGGAAACTTTTGAATTACATTTGCGCCTCACATTCTATCTCTATTGGACAGCACTGCTTTGTAATTTACTTACACGTATGATGTTTATTATTTATGGTCTGTCTGCCTCTGCTAGAATGTCGGGTCCCCCACCCCCCGCTCCAGGGCAGGGCTTTTGTCTGTCTTGTTCACTGCTGTATTCGCAGTGCTTAGTATGTTGCCTCATCCGTACTTAGTAGGTGCTCAGTAATATTTGTGGAATGAATAAATTTCATTGCACACCGCCCAACGTATACTTAGCTCCGCACCGGGCTTTAGTAATGTATGAAATGCTCAGAACCACTCTATGAAGTAGGCACTGTTATTCCCAGAGCCCGGCCCTCTGCACAGGATGATGCTGGCAGTTGCCCCATGAGGAAGTGGGCCCCCCACATTGCTCTCAGTGCTTCCCTGCTCCTCTAGCACAAGTAGCGTTGGGGTCAGGCAGCTCACTACTGGGGGCAGAATTCTCAAGTCCAGCTAAAGGACAGGGAAGATGCTGCACGCTGTCCCTTCGCAGTTTCATGGCCCTCCTCCTTGCTACCCCGTCCAGGAGGCTGCTTGCTGCCTGCAGCTGCCCTCGGAGACTTTCCTCTAGAAGAGGGAGCCAGACAGGGTGGGGCCTGGGTACTTTGCACAACTTTTGGGCTCATTGACTGCTGGGTCCCCCCCAGCAGCCAGGTGGCTGAACTGGTGACTCCGGGACTGAAGGTGGATTTAGTTGGGAGGAGGACAGTGGTGTGGGGTGGGGGAAGCCTCTAGGGTGTCTAAGGAGAGAGACCCTCAGGGTCCAACTTCAGCTCCAGTACACACAGAGGCTATTGTCCTGCCCCCCCCCCCCCCACCCCGACTAGGGCTCCCTGTGAAAATGAGAAGGGTGTCGGTTATTGATACTTGGCAACAGACAATGGAAACGGCGGTTCCAGCCCCCAGCCTGCCCTTCCCCACAATCAGGGCACACAACTAAACAGACTCAGAGGTTGGGAGAGGCATTTTGCCTTCTTGAGAATCACTCAGGCCCTAGTGTGCGTTTCACGGGCCCCCCACAAACACACCCCAACCCCGCACTGGGTGGCCTCAGGCACTGAGTTCGCCTTTCATGACTTATTTATAAAACAGAGGTGTAGATCTCCTAGGGTTGCTTGAGACACCTTTGTACACCTAATGCAGAGATTTCTTGGGCTCTACACAACTGCTCAAACTTTGGAATTAGATTGGACATGACCACCTTCATTTCCTGTTCCACAATCATTTTCGCATGATACTACTTTTTTTTTTATTAGAACAACTGCCATAAACCCAGCTTCACAAAGTTATGACATCATCTAACATTCAAACTGCAAACTACCTTGAGCTAGCGCAAGGTGACCGACAGATGTCGCTGTGTTCCTTTCAAAAATCCTCTAAAATATTCTGCGGCTCCCAGGGGCACCTCAAGGCATAGTTTGGGAACTGGACCTAAGGGATGGTCTTGGACACAGAGGGTGTTCAGTAAACCGTAGTTGTGAACTTTATCACCATTCTCGCCTACTGAGTGAGCAAATATTTGCAAAACCGACGTTCTGGCAAGGCACAAGTCTTCTCCTTGGCCTTAGGAAGCGGCGCAAGAGGGGTGCCCCATCAGCCAATCTCACGGCTCTCTTGGAATTTAATCGCCAACCCTACCACCCCACCACCCCCACCTCGGGGCCCACCTGTATTCATACTTGGACTATTCTTCCTCCCAGCCCCACTACCTTTAACCTTTTAACCTTTATTGAGCAGTCGCTGGTATATGCAATTTTCATGCTTTTTCTCATTTAACATCTCAACAGCCTCATGAGGTAGGTACTTTTATCCCCATTTTACAGATGAGGAAACTGAGGCTCTAGGAGGCTATGTAAACTGCTCAGCTAGTGCTTGGCAGAGCTAGGATTTGAATCCCGATCTCCCTGATGCCAGAATCCAAGCCCTTGACCACTATTCCACACTACCTCTTTCGGTGAGGCAGTTCACTCTCACTAAATACTTGTTGCTATTATTTTGTTGTCATCGTTGTTTTGTTGTTCTGGTTAAGTGTAACTCTGCTCATTGGACTTGTCACCTTTGTGTTGGTTTTACAGATGAGGAGACTGAGGTGCTGAGGGAATAGAAGAGTGATTAAAAGCCAGACTGCTTGGGCTTCCCTGGTGGCGCAGTGGTTGAGAGTCCACCTGCCGATACAGGGGACACGGGTTTGTGCCCTGGTCCAGGAAGATCCCACATGCCACAGAGCTACTGAGCCTGTGAGCCGTGGCCGCTGGGCCTGTGCGTCCGGAGCCTGTGCTCCGCAACGGGAGAGGCCACAACAGTGAGATGCCCGCGTACCGCAAAAAAAAAAAAAAAAAAAAAAAAAAAAAAGCCAGACTGCCTAAGTTTGAGCCTGGCTCTGACATTTACCAGCTTTGTGACCTTGGGCAACTTGCTTAACCTCTCTGTGCCTCAGTTTGCTCTTCTGTAAAATGATAATGAAAATGCTATCTGCCTCGTGAGTTGTTAGGAGGATTAATGAATTAATACACAGAAAGCACTGTGCCTGGCACATTGTAAGCACTCCCCACTACTGAATGATAATCATTACCTGATTACTAAAACAGCCGTTCCACTCCCATTACCCAGGCTGAGTTTTCTTTGTTTGCAAAAGTTCTCCACATAAGAGTCCCTGCCACCCACTTTATTTGACTCTTAAGCCCCGCCTACTCTCTATCCAGTCACACTATTTGCCATCTCCAGAGCATACCTGAAACTGTCTCCTATCTATGACTTTTGCACAAGCTGTCTTCCTGGAGACCCTCACCTGTGAACCTCAAGATCCTCCTGGGTCTCCTCCTGATCCCTTCTCCTTCTTACAGCAACATGAACCTTCACTAGCCAGCCTTCCCTAACTCACTGGAGCAGGACCAGCAGCAACAGAAAGCTTTGGGTTGAGGATTAGAAACTCAGATTCCTGACTCCACACTCAAAGGGTTCCTTTAGTAGATCTGGGGTGAAGCCCAAAGTGTGCACACTCCTTGCATCAAAGGGCAGAGAACTGAATAGTGTTCTCTGCAAATCAACAATAAGTGTGGTTGTATGTATGTGTTTGAGAAAGATGTGAAAGGACATACTCCAAGCTGTCAACATCAGTTCTCTTTGGCAGAGAGGAATGCATAAAGAAAAACAAAAACAATAGCAGGAGGAGAGGAAGAGAAATAAAGAAAAGAAACCTCAAAAAAACATTGTAACTCTACAATATCTACAAGGTAATAGATATTAACTAAACTTATTGTGGTAATCATTTCACAGTATATATGGACGTATATCAACTCATCATGTTGTACACCTTAAACTAATATGTAATAAATCAACTATATCTCAATAAAATTCGGAAAAAATTAGTTTATGATGATGGTTGCACAACTCTGATAATATACTAAAACCATTGAACTGACACTTTAAATGGGTGACTTCTATGGTGCATGTATGATATTTCAGTAAAGATCTTAATAAAAAAGAAAAGGGGACTTCCCCAGTGGTCCAGTGGGTAAGACTCCATGCTCCCAATGCAGGGGGCCCAGGTTCGATCCCTGGTCAGGGAAATAGATCCTTCATGCGTGCTGCAACTAAGAAGTCCACATGGCACAACTAAAGATCCTACATACCGCAACTAAAACCCGGCACAGCCTAAGTAAATAAATAAATAGATATATTAATTAAAAAAAAAAAACCTAAAAAACAATGGACCTTCCCAAGCTTAAAAAAAAGAAAGAAAGAAAAGAAACCTCAAGAAAATATTGCATGTATAATGAAGTGACCGGTGTGTATACGTGTATCAGTATAAACCACAGTGAGCCATGTGGAAAGATGATCTTCAAAGGTATATTTGCAGTTATTGCTTCGTGGTAAGATTTCAGGTGATTTTTACTTTCTTGATTATCCTTGTCTGTATTATTTGAATAGTTTAACATGAATATTTTCATAGATAGAAAAACAATAAAATTATTTTTATTTGAATGGTACCTCCTCCCCACCCCCGCAATGAGCCAGATTCCCCAGGCTATCGTGATGCCCACAGTTCTGTCCCCCATCTCAGGTGTTTGTCCCTGGACCCCCACCTGGCTGTGAGCCACAGATGGCAAGAACCGTGGTATCTCTATTCCCGGGCGCCCAGGGCTCCCAAGTGCTATATCCTATGCTAGTGGAGCTCCAGACACAGCTCATGCTCAGGAAATAGTTGCCGGATGGAGCCCCATCCAGTGTTTCTGAATGCATTTCTCATGATTTCCTGAAGATGTCTTGTCAGTTCAATTAGATTGTAAATTCTGTGAGATCATGGAGAGCCTTGGCCTTCCTTTTACTCCCCTTGCCCCTGCACAGCTCTGATCTGGGCACATAGTGACCCCGAAGGGTAGAACAAAGACTCGAGGCAGGAAAAACACCTGAAGGAGGAAGGGACCAGACAGCCTGGGAGTGCCTCCGTCCGTTTTATTGTCATCCTCTTCATCGACAGCAGAGGGCGCACTAATTCCACGCAGCAAAAGTTTCCAAATCTGACTTATCATTAGAACTCTGGGTCACCAGGGCAAACAAACACCACCACCAAAACAAACAAACAAACAAAAAAACAAAACAAAAAAAACCAAATGCAAGGCCCCACCCCCATTGTTTCTGAGTCTGCCTCCTTAGCAGAAATACCAGAGGATCCCTCCTTTGAACAAACACCTCAGGCAATTTTCTCAGGATCAAGCAAGTTGCAGAAACTCTGTCTCACACAGCCCTCTAGGTGTTTACAGGATAAAAAATGTGGTTTCGATAAGTAGAAAGCCCAGAGAGACTTACAAGGGTGTGAATCAAAGTGAGCAAACAAATTCTTTAGCCAGGATGTCACACTTCAGCCCCAGGGCTACGTGATGGTGCTGCCTAGAGGGCAAACTATTACAAGCTTTGCTGTTGACTCTGAACAAGTCCCATAACCACTAAACCTGTTTCCTCATTTGTAAAGTAGGGACAATGTGGGCCTGAATGGGTTGTTGTGAGAATTCAGTGAGATAAACTGCAGTTGTATACAGAAAGCAAGCATTTGGTTAAATGTGAAAACAGCTAGTGAAAATAGCTAGTTTTTGAGCACCTACTACCTGCCAAGCCCTGCATAAGTGTTTTACATGTATTTGCTCCTTTAACCCTTGCAGGAACCCTATGAGGAAAGGTCTGTTATTCTCTCCATTTCACAGATGAGGAAACTGAGGCACAGAGAGGTTAAGCAACTTGCCCATTGTCTCCCAGCTAGGAAGTGGCAGAACTGGAATTTGAGCCCAAGAAGCCTGGCTCCAAGACGCAGGATAAACTAGCCCCATGGGAACAAAACTATAACATCTTTGGTTTTTTTGTTTGTTTTTGTTGTTGTTGTTTGTGGCCGTGCCACGCGGCACACGGGATCTTAGTTCTCTGACCAGGGGTCGAACCTGCGACCCCTGCATTTGAAGGGCAGAGTCTTAACCACTGGACCACCAGGGAAGTCCTGACAACATCTTTTAGGAATCATGAAAATTGCCCCTTGGCTTCTTTGGGGAAAAGTAGACCACCCAGATGAGCGAGTCCAAAAATTAGCTGAGGGGCCAAATGCAGGTGGTGCAGGCTGCCGGCTGGGATTCCTAGTCCTACAACTTTTCTCAGATTGGCTTACACACATCTGAATTCATGGGACCAGGAAGTGCTTGGTCTTGCTAAAGCTGGTTCCCGTTGGAGGACTTCCGACTCACTGCTGGACTAGTGTCAATCATTTGTAGCCTCAACATAGGACATGGGTAATTCCAGAAAGCTGTGGCTTCTGGACACCACCCACTGGAAACAAGGCTTTTGTGAGGATACAAAGGAACAGGAGGGAAATCAAGCTGAACTAGTGTCCTCGGTACCTGGCATTGGGGTCATGTCCACTCACGTGCCTGGCTTGACTCACAAGTTATTGATAATCCCAAACAAGCTAGCAGAAACCAGGCAGTCATGTTTCTGGATGGAGAGATGCAAAGGAGCCTGGGAACACTTTCTGGGGAGGGGAAACCAGAGCCTGGAGGACAGGGTGGAATGAAGCCTTCGCTTTTGTGCAGCTTCGTTTTTACACCCTGAGCGAGTTGGTCAGGGTCCTGGCAGGATACAGCTGGCACTCTCTCAAATGAAATGATGCAGCCAAGCTTTCCTGCCGGGGCTCTTTACCAAAGTGGGAGCACATGTAGGGAGACCCAAGGGATGGAGTGTCCACGGTGGGGCTGGGGCCAGTAACAGTGGGGAACTGTTGGCAGGCCTGGGCCTGGCTGGGTGAGGGCTGGGATGGCCACCAGTGCCGTGAAAAGGGCTGCCCTGGGAGGACAGGTGACTCAAAGCCTGGAGGTGGGGAAGGGCAATACACACCTCCACATCTGCCTCGCTCCAGTCCAACCCTCCAGTCTCCTGCTGGCCTCTCCACTTGCTGAACCCAACCACCAGGCAGAGATGGGGGGGGCAGGGGGGAGACTCCGCGGGCACGGAGCAGGGTGGAGACGGGCAGAGAGCACCTCTGTGGATCAGACCAGACCACTGAGCAGTAGGCATAGTTATGGAGATATGGGGATGTAATAAGAAATATATATTTGGTCTCCATAGAGCTCCTAAACCCTTGTAAAATTGAGTGATGGGGTGAGCAGAGCATCTTTTGTTATACCATTTGATCTTAGTCACCATTCCTGACATAGAGCTCCTAAGACCTTTGAACCCCCAGAGTGATCAAGAGCGTCTTTCTGTTTGTTAAGGAGGCAATTGATGACTGGGGGCTGCAGGGAGTCCTCACCAGAACCAGAAAGACTGACGCATGATTAGAGGGTTAGAAATTTCAGCCCCACGCCCACTCTGACCTCTGGGGAGGGTAGAGGGGCTAGAGGTTGAGTTAATCACCCATTGCCAGTGATTTAATCAATCATGCCTGTGTAATGAAATCTCCATGAAAATCCTAAATGTAAGGGTTGGCATTCCTTGCACTTGGGAATATATTCATGAGCCCGGAGGGTGGTACACCCCTACTCCACAGGGATAGAAACTCTTGCACGTGGAACTCTTCTGGGACTCACCTATGTACCCCTTCCTCTGGCTGGTCATTTGTGTCCTTTATAATATCCTTTATAATAAACTGGTAATTGGGACTTCCCTGGCAGTCCAGAGGTTAAGACTCCTCACTTCTGTTGCAGAGGGAGCAGGTTCGATCCCTGGTCAGGCAACTAAGACCCTGCATGCCTCGAGATGCAGCCAAAAATAACAACAACAACAATAAACCGGTAATAGTATGTAAAGTGTTTCCCTGAGTTCTGTGAGCTGTTATAGCAGATCATCCAATGTGAGGAGGGGGGTCAGGGGAGACCCTGATTTGTAGCCAAGTTGCACAGAAGCATCAATGCCCCAGTACCTGTGAACCCAATACTTGTGACTGGCGTCTGAGGTGGGGACCATCTTGTGATATGAAACCCCTAACCTGTTGCGTCTGTGTGAACCCCGGGGGGTTAGTGTCAGAACTGAATTAAAGGCTGAGGCTTCTAAAAGTCTCATGCAGGGAATTCCCTGGCTGTCCAATGGTTAGGAATCGGCGCTTTCACTGCTGTGGCCTGGGTTCGATCCCTGGTCGGGGAACTAAGATCCCACAAGCTGCACAGCGCGGCCCAAAATAAAAGTCTCATGCAATAATTCTACCTACGGTTCATTGAACTAAATGCGGTCACATGGCCTTGCCTAGGTTTGAGAGAGGCTGGGAAGTGTCTTTATTCTAGGCAATGAGAGCTGGGTTCTACTAAAGAAAAAATGGGAAGAATGTATATTAGGAATGTAACTGGCTACAAATGATAGTAATAGCATCTCATTGAGCACTTACTATGTGGCAGACCCAGTGCTGAGCACTTAATAAGTGTGGTCTGGTCAAACAAGATTGCCCTCTTGTAGCCAGGAAGACACACACACACACACACACACACACATGCCTCTTGGACATGGCCCCTTCACTGTGAGCCATTGATGTGAGAAGTCTTTGTGACCCAGCAGAGAGGGAGGGGTAATATTCCCTTAGCATAATAAGGTCAGGATTACTGGTTCTCATGAAATTAAATCAAAATCTGTACCAGGAAGAATATGAGTGTTCCATGTAAAAGATAGGGGGGAGGGATGTTTTCAAAAGGAAATTAATCTTTGTGGTTTGAGACGTGTTTAATTTTAAATACATCGAGAGAGAACCAGCCACTACCCAGCAATGGAAACCCCCTCTCCTCCAGCCCACCCCATCCTCCCCACACCTGCCCCCAGAGGAGTCAACAAACGATGAGACCAAAGTCCCTCTGTCCCCCTCTGCGCGTCAGCAGAAACTCGGAGAAGAAAGACTTTTAACAGTCAGCAGACTCCGGGAACTGTGTACTTAGCAATTTACAAAAAGGGGCTTCATGGGGACTTTGACATTTTTACAGAGAAGGGTGATGTTTCACGAATAGTGAAAAGGTCAGAGACAGAAGTAGGCAGTTCAGAGAGGAAGGGAGCATCACAGGGCTGCCATTTTGCACAACTCCAGGGTAACACCCACCCACAGAGAAGAGAGGACGACAGTGGTTCTAAAGGCCTATTGAAAGGAGATTCCATAGGACCTAGGGGGTGGGAGCAGGGGCTTAGAAGAACAGTTGGAGGGTTAGAGGCTGAAGTAGTGGGAGATACCCCAGGACTAGAGACAGGTTTGGGGTTCCTGAGCATCTGGGGAGACTGGATCTGAAATACGAGTAGCCAGTCTGAACGAAGACCCCTGTGCCAACACTTGGCACAGAAATAGCGATGTTAGCAGCCTTCAGGGGATCCACAGGCTTGATCAGAGAGTACATCAGTGTAACCAGTGTAGACCAAAGGCCAGAAGGCTCCCCCCAAATCTTTTTGCCTGGATATGAATCCTACCACCCCTGTACAAGACAAGAAATAGGAAGCCCTGAGTTACAACTAAGCCTAAATACACCCCCAAACACGTGGAAGTCTTGGGTCAGGAATAATTTGATTTCAGAAAACTTAAGTGATGTTCACAGATTCCAATCATCATCATCATCAATCACAAAGTTGGGTGGGCTTGAGATAACATTAGGATCCCAGGTTCTCTCCATCCTCCCTCTCAGCAGTCCACAGCATCAGCTTCCCTGAAGGCCAACTCCCCTGATGGTCACAAAGTGGCTGCCACCACTCACTGAGGCATCTTGGTTTTGCGGAGGGTGGGCGGGGAGGAGAGGGAGGAGCTGCTCACTCCCATTAGCTCAGACCACGCCCCTCCTTGCATCTCATTGGTCCACCAGTTCAGGCCCACTCTGAATCACTCACTAGCAAAGCAAGATGGAATTGCCGTGGTTAAGTTAGGCCAGCTGTTCTCAGTGTGGTCACAGGACCAGCAGCATCAGTGTCACCTGGGAACTTGTTAGAACTGCAGGTCCTTCAGGCTCATTTCACACGTGCTGGATCACAAATGCTAGGGGTGGGACCCAGCGGGCTGGATTTTCACGAGCTCTCCGGGGATTCTGATGCACGAACCCCTGCCTTAGGTAAAGGTCTTCTTAAACTGCTCTCAAGGTCTGTGCGTGAGGATGACTTTGGACGAAGGTAGGTGAGGAGGGCTGAGGGTGGGGGATGGGAATACCCTCTTCAGTGGGCAGTGCAGCTCCCGCTGTCGACAGTGTGATGACAGGGACAAAGTGGACCCAGGAGTCCTCATCTGCAGTAAGGAGACAGCAAGACTAAAGTGTCCTCTTAAGACCACCACCCCCCACCCCAGAGGAAAAGGAAAAGCCCAACGGACAGGAAAAAACCCACAAAAATCTATATGCATATTATGTCATTTGACCTCTCTGCTATCCTCTAGAAGGGATATTATTAAATTCTCATTTTAGTGATGAGGAAATTGAGGTTCAGAGAAGTCACTGCTACATGGCTACACACAGCCACCCATTCCACGTGAGATGTCCAATCTCTTGTCCGTGTGATGTAACAATGGCGGGGCAGTGGGAGCGGTCAGGCAGCAAAGGGGAATATTTTGTGTAGAGAATTTTAAAACAGTAATAAAACAGGCTAAAAGTCCTTTATTGTGAAAGTGTAATGGCAATTTTAAAGATCAAAATGCAATAGCAATTCTAATTATTTCTCAATAAAACTGGGGAAAAATAATAAAAGCAAAAAAAAATGCAATAGCAATTCTAAACAATGTCAGTGACAAGACTGTCTCCCCTGAGTTGGTTTGGGTTCTAAACAATTTCTGTGGTTGCTGTTGAGTTTTAATAATAGAAATGATGATATAGGGAATTCCCTGGTGGTCTGGTTCAGTGATTAGGACTCCACAATCTCACTGCCGAGGGCCGGGGTCCAATCCCTGGTCGGGGAACTAAGATCCCACAAGCTGCGTGGCAGGAAAAAAAGAAAGAAAGAAAGAAGAAAAAAAAGGTGATATAATGATAGAAGTTAAAATATAACACAAATAATACAAATTAAAA